AGACACTGGAGTCCTTTAAAACAGATCTAAAGACACATCTATTTCGCAAATACCTTCTGGGATGATTGTCTACCTTATTTTCCATGTGTTGCTGTGTTGCTCCGGGTTGAAATGGCTAGAAAGACTTTGACATTGTATGCTTGTAATTAGTTTTTGTAGTGTTGCGTTTGTTTTAAATGTGGTGAATTATAGATATTTTTTTTGTTGACTTTGTACCGCGCTTCGAGCCTTTGGGGATGAAGCGTGTTTTTGAAATGAACTTTATTATTATTATTATTATTATAAAAGAACAAAAACAAAAAACAACACTTTGATTCTTTCGTAAGATGTCAACGGCTAATTTTACTCTACCAAACATACTTTGGCGGTTTCTTTTTATAAAAAATAAATCGATTTTAATTTTCTTTTCAAATTGTTGTTTTATTTTCTTCTGGCCAAAAATTAACATCTGGCAGCTTCGAAGCAAAACTTTAACAAGTGTGGGGATGTATAAAACAAAAAAAGGTTCTAAGGATTGCTTTACAGAGCCCTCTCCAATTCCTACCCCATATTTTTGCTTCCCTATAACCCAATTCAAAATTACAGTACGAACACCTTTCTATATACTAACATTATTTGCCCAGTCCCCAATTCTAAACACCTGTTTCTCAATTTCAAGGTAAAGCCTAATTCTCGTTGTGGTGTGCCACACAATTTGGCAAATGCTGTAAGGGGTTGAACTTCTCAAACAAAGGAGGCGCCATATCGTCTTTTTACTGGTCCGCCTCGGGCCAGAATTCTTTATATATATATTGAGTGGCGTCATTTTGGGCATAAAGCACAATAACAAAACTTTTTTTTAAAGACTTCGATTTTATTGATTTGATTCTAGTCAAATAGGTATAAATTGTAAGTTCAATTTCAGAAAAAAAAACCCACCCCCCCCCCCCCCCCAAAAAAAAAAAAAAAAAAAAAAAAAAAAAAAAAAAAAAAAAACAACAACAACACAAAACAACCACACCCGCACTCCCCCGCACACACGCAAAATCATTAAAACGGTGCACGTGAGTTGCTTTGTGGAATGGGGCGGTTAAAAGCTTGGCTCGCCTAGGGCAGCACTAACTCTAGCTAAGCTACTGTGGGCGAACGGTATATCATTTCTTTGTGATCAAAAAAATTATCCAACTTTAATTAAGTGCCCATCCATAAATGACATCATGCTATTTCGTTCGATTTTGGACTCCTCCCTCATCTTTACAAATTTGGCCCATAATTGAGGCACCCACATAATAGTTCGTCATAAAGTCGTGACCCCCACCCCCAGTGTGTCTCTCATAATGGATGACCTAAAATATAAACATTATGTGACTTTTTGTTGCCAAATAATAATAACAATAATGATAATAATTTAAAAAAGCACTGGATATCCAGTCTAGATTAAATATCTCGATTTTGATTCCAGCCCGCAGGCCGTAGGTTTGACATTAACTATCTAACAAAATTAATGTAATCGATACTAATTGTTGACTTCCGTGTTAATACTACACGGGCCGTTTACAAAATTTATCAAGTTTTGTTTATAGCTTTGTATCTTTGACTAAAGCCAATGAATGTGGAAGTTATCGAACTTCAAATTTATTGTCATATATATAGATGGAAGTGGTATGTTTAAGACTTAAAAATAAATAGACCTAGGTAATTGTAATAGTAATAATATTATTAGTAGTAATATACCAATTCAATAAAAAATACAATTAAATAATAATAATTTAATAATACTTGTGACTTGTCAATAGTTAGGTACTTGAGTAAAATGTTCATAAAGAAGTTATAAGCTTTAAAATTTAAAAGCTAGTTGGTTAAATAGGGCCTGAAAAATGCAATTCATTAATACCAAATTTATGTTTGTAGGTCTATTCAATTCTAAAGAAAGTTATGATTTTTTTGTGTGAATTATTTAAGGATAACTGTACTGTTAATTGAGACTGAGTGAGACATATAATTATAGGAAAATATAAAAGTGACTAAAACAAAAACTGGGCAGAGAGTTTAGAGAGTATAGTAAAGTAATAGCCTAATACTATGACATATGGTATGAATTTGAGATGTATTTTACGATTGTACGCTGAGACCTGTCAAAATTACGATTTTTATTTTTAGAGGATTGAATTAAAAAATATATGCCTGTATTTTTTATGATTAAAAAATAAATAAAACAACATTATTGTTGTTAGTTTTAGTTCCTTTCTACACCCTGCAATGAATGATGGACAGAGTAATACTAATACAATTGGCTGGGGACCATATTATAATTATATTATGTTATGACAATTACTAGGCACTGAGTTGAAAGGGGTTGGGGTTGACTTGGAAGCATATGGGTGTGCATGGGAGGGTTAGGGGTATAAAATAACACCCTACATTTCTTAATAATCATCAAATTGACATAAATCAAAGACTTTTTGTGTTTTTCACAGTCACAGTAATATATAAATATAGTGTATTCGCCCAAGTGACAAATTTAGTAAACATTCTTTTTGTTTGCTTCGGTGCTGTATGACTTAATTATGTGCCATAATTATTTTATTATTTGGCTGAACAGCAGCTAATGCAAAAATGGAGAAACTATGGATTTAAAAAAAAATGCATTCTCAACTGCTTTGCACAGCAGCGTTATATTTTAACATATAAGTCATGTGATCTACTAAGCTTCATTTGAAATCAGTTTTTAGCATAATACAACCTGTTAGCAGAAAATAAAATCAGGCTCCTAGGCTTAAAAAGCAGTAGTAGGCAACCCGTTGTCTGCAATTTTAAATATTATAGATGTATTACTAATGAACTTATCTCTTCATTTAATTAGTGATTATTTTCATTTTTTGCATAACCGCATATTTTAGATATATATACATCCCTTTTTTACCAGTTCGATGTACACGCCCCTTTATTGGCCTGATTTTTGAAAAATAGACTGAAATAAGTGATAAATTATTTAAACAATTTTACTATTTGGCACTGTACATTACTAAAATAAAGGGATTTACAAAAAACAGCTAGGTAAGGGAAACTTAATTTTCCAAAAGCATTATAATTAAGTGTAGAATTATAAAAAAAACTATATTCAGGTATACGCAAAAGTGCATCCCTGCATTTTGAAGTAAAAAAAAAAAATTCTGGGAAAGGGACTTAGCCTCCTCCCCTAACCCCACCCTCACTTTTGTTTTGTGACTTCGACAGGAGACCTCGATTTCTACTTCCCCATCACATCTTCGTCTATCAAAGTAGCAAATGACGTGCACCTTTTTATTTGCAATAATGCAGTTGACACAAATATATAAATGTTAGTTATCTACTTTGAGAGTGACCTTTATTAGACATGCGATGCAAATAGTTATTGTATACATTTTACTGTATGTTTATATATTTGCTATTACAATACGGTATTGCATGATTTTGAGATTTTTAAGTTCTATTCTGAGACTATATTGTACTATTTTGGAAATTCCAGTGTAACCAGGTCTGTTCATAGGTTTCACTTATTAACAGGTGAAAATAATTTTTTTTAAATTACAGTTTACTAAGAAAAGGTTGCCAATCCCTGCCAGAAAACATTGTTTGACAATAATAAGGGAACAATCTTTTTAACAGATGTCATGATTATTATGATTATCAAAGAAATTTTGTAAAAAGTATTAGTTACATTTTTAGGGTTACCGGAAATTTGATCAAAAGAAATTTCGTCAACGGTAAATTGATCTACGCATTAAAATTTTCGTCAAATTTCTTTTTGAACGCATTATACTATACAGTAAAACAAAATAATGCGTTCAAAAAGAAATTTGAAGCACAATTTTAACATAAAAACTTAAAAAAAGATTCGACCAAATTTTCGTTCGATCAAATTACCGTTGTTCAATTTACCGTCCACCAAATTTCTTTTGATCAAATTTCCGGATACACATTTTTCGTATTAAAATTTGTTAGCCTAACCTTGTTCATAGATTAACATACAAACACGACCTGTGTTTGATTATTGATTGCAGTACACCTCATATTATTTATCCCTCAGTGAAAAGACCTGTACAATCATGGGGTCGAGTAACAGTGAAATGAGTGCGGGAACTAACCCCAGATTTTACCCCTCCCCAATCCCCCAAAAGAGATATGTATATTTCGTGGCAAAAAAAATATTACAAGAACACTGTTCCCATGCTTCCTGCAGGACTCAAGCACTGCACACAATTAAAATACAAGTACCGCTTTCTCTTTAGTTTAAAATTGCAGGTATTAAATGAATTTAAATAGTAAATACTAGTTTTAACAAGAGCATATTATTAATTTTACAAGTACCAATCAAGCCAAAGACTAATAAAGACCATGGTTTGCTGCATGTACTGCTGCTATGTTCAACTCAGGCCAAAGCCCATTGCTTTGCTAGGCAGCCGCCGCCGAAGGGCATAAGGGACTGTTTTCACGGTGTTGTTTAGTGATAACTAAGCACTAGTATTAGTAAAGCTATAAAGAAGTTGTATATAAGTCAGTTAATAGTAGTGGTGACTAATGTAACTAATGTATGTATGCCTAATGACTAGTAGCCATTAAATTTAAATATCTAGGCTGAATGATAGACTAATGGCAAATGAATCAAAAGTTGAATAGTGGCCTAAGAAATCTACTCCTGGTAAACTTTTGACTATTAATTTTAGTGTTAATTTTGGAACTGGACACATTTCTTGAGGCAGTCCACTCCCCACTACCACACAACCCAAGCAGTTGGCTCAAAATGTTGCCCTCCAATATAATGGAAAAAGTGCCACCTGGGGTGGACACCTCCTCAGCACCATTCTGCCTACACCATTGATGACACACAGACACTACCCCTACAGATACAGTTACCAGAAGCAGCAGGTTCTGACTTCATAAGAATTAGAGTACATAATCTCCTAATCTGAAATGGCCAGGCCTTTATTTTACTATACATATATATTAATAACAAGTATAGCCTAGTATCTCAAAAAATACTATAGAGAATTAGGCCTATATTTATAAATGCAAAGTTTTTTTTACTTACTAAAAAAAAAAAAAATTTGCTCATAACCTTTACTTTTTCAACTAAGATAAAACTATTTTTTATTTGTTAGAATTTGCTATTTATACTAGATCTAGCCAGAAAGCTGATATCCCTATTTCTTAAGAGTATAATATCTAGAAGAAAGACTGTATAGCATAATTGAAAAGTTTATCTTATTTGGTAATTAGTTAAAAATTGTAGCATCCTTTATACTTAAGAAATCACCATTGTTCAGAAAAATTTCTTTTACTGTAAATTAGTGTAAAACAGTAAATGTTATTTTCTCTTAAATATTTATGCATCTTTATTTAATCAATTAGAAAAATACGGAAGTGAACAAAATAACTGCTGATGAAAGTGGCTCAGATATTTTACAGCAAACCGCTTCAGGTATTGAACTTTGAAAATAATTGTATTTACTTTTCATATATATGTGAAGGCATTAAAAGTGTTTACATATTCATACATGCATTTAACTATTGATTTATCTCCACACACAGAATTTCCTGTCAATTCAGCAATGTTCTTTTTAGTCATCAAAGACTTTCTAAGGCTGGTTTCATTATTGAAGGAAATCTTTGCACTTCAAACTCTTATTCAAAAGAACAAGGCTTAACAAGGAGCGACAGTGTAACAACTGGCTTTTCTAGCTTGCCATCTGAGCTCTGCAGCAGCTTTTCTGTTTGCTTCATGCAGCATGGAGTGCTAAGACGCTTGATCCTTTTCTGTTGGCTTTATGCAGCATGGAGTGCTAAGAAGCTTGATCCTTTTCTGTTGGCTTCATGCAGCATGGAGTGCTAAGAAACTTGATCCTTTTCTGTTGGCTTCATGCAGCATGGAGTGGAGTGCTAAGAAGCTTGATCCTTTTCTGTTGGCTTCATGCAGCATGGAGTGCTAAGAAGCTTGATCCTTTTCTGTTGGCTTTATGCAGCATGGAGTGCTAAGAAGCTTGATCCTTTTCTGTTGGCTTTATGCAGCATGGAGTGCTGAGAAGCTTGATCCTTTTCTGTTGGCTTTATGCAGCATGGAGTGCTAAGAAGCTTGATCCTTTTCTGTTGGCTTTATGCAGCATGGAGTGCTAAGAAGCTTGATCCTTTTCTGTTGGCTTCATGCAGCATGGAGTGCTGAGAAGCTTGATCCTTTTCTGTTGGCTTCATGCAGCATGGAGTGCTAAGAAGCTTGATCCTTTTCTGTTGGCTTCATGCAGCATGGAGTGCTAAGAAGCTTGATCCTTTTCTGTTGGCTTTATGCAGCATGGAGTGCTAAGAAGCTTGATCCTTTTCTGTTGGCTTTATGCAGCATGGAGTGCTGAGAAGCTTGATCCTTTTCTGTTGGCTTTATGCAGCATGGAGTGCTAAGAAGCTTGATCCTTTTCTGTTGGCTTTATGCAGCATGGAGTGCTAAGAAGCTTGATCCTTTTCTGTTGGCTTCATGCAGCATGGAGTGCTGAGAAGCTTGATCCTTTTCTGTTGGCTTCATGCAGCATGGAGTGCTAAGAAGCTTGATCCTTTTCTGTTGGCTTCATGCAGCATGGAGTGCTAAGAAGCTTGATCCTTTTCTGTTGGCTTCATGCAGCATGAAGTGGTAAGAGGCTGGTCAGGGTTTATGCTGAATGCATACATTAGGTTTTCATGATTGTATCTGAGCCATTCCTACCAATGGGATCATTTGCTGTGCTTGAAGCTTACCATAAAACAACAGCTTCTTTGGCAACTGATGGTCAGACTCACCTAATCCAGACATCCTTGGTCAGGCTACTGAAGATATCTCAGTCTGGCAATGTGGAACTTCAGCCCTCTACATGCTGGTGGTTCAGCCACTGAAGAAATTTTCAACACAGCCCATCAGATCCAGCTTTGAGGGCAAAGGCATCAGCAAACAAAGTCCTTTTAATGATCAGTCATAACTTGTTAGGAGCCTCTTGAGGTTTAAACAGTTAACTTTTAGTTCGTTGCCTGATGCCAATTTCAAATTTCACCTTCTCCATGAGCATCAGTCAGCAGGCTGGAATAGGCGGCAGCATCCCAGCATTACTCACTGGGATTTGGCTCAGGCGCTCTGAACTGATAGATATAAATTTTCAGTAGCATCCATACTGGGAAATGAAATTCCAAAAGCATATTCTGCTGACAGTGCCTTGGTCAGCTTCACATAAGTGTAGAGGTCAACATTTTGCTCCTGACGTTTCTCTTGTTCCTGCTGCCTGTCTGTAAACACCATGTTGATGGTCCCAGTTTTCTTTCTGGAAACCATGTAGGCTTTTGTGAGGTAGATCCCGGTCATGATGCATATTAGGATGGTTCAGAGGAATTCTTGTAAGTATCTTGCTGTGGATTAAAAGCAAGGATATACATTGGAGTTCTCCACAAGTCACACCCTTGTTTTTATGAACAAACCCGCAATAAATTGAGGGATTTAAAAAAACTATGAATAAGCAATATTTGTTGTAAACTAAAATATATGGCATAATGGGAACAAATATTACACTCTGCCGATCATGTTAACTTTTTCCAGAACACTATTTTGAGAATGGAGACGGGGATGACCACAGTGCAGAGCTGAGACATCGTCGCAATAGAATATCTGTATCTGTACCTCCAGGAGTGATGGCGTTTGATGGAATGTTTCAGCAGAGTATAGATTTGCAAGGCGAATATGATGAACACATGTCTGAGCTGCTCCAGCAGTTGCCAAGTCGACAGTTAGGTTAGTTTAGGGAGTTCTTGGATAATTTTGTTTGATATTTTTATCATGTATAGATAGACTTAAGAGCCATTCATAAATTGTGTTATGCATGAGTGGGGAGGGAAGGGGAGTTACATGTTTAAGTCAATGTATTATTGAGGGCATCTATTTTTGGTGAGAAATTTGTGTTGATGGAGGATGGAGTACAAATCAACCAGAATAGCATGACATCATTTATAGGTGGCACCTTAACTTGACGATTTATCAGTAGAATAGTTGATCAGTTGTCAGTGCTATTTACTGTATAAAAAAACCAAACCATTTTCATTTTATTTGATATGTCATGTTTTCTAAGATTTTTTCTTTAATTTAGAAAAATAAATAATTGATTCTTTTGAAATTTTATTTCACGTTTCAGTCTCACAGGTGATTGGAAGTCTAAGAATTTGAAGGATGTTTCTTAAATAGTTATTTTATACAGGGATATGATGTAACACAGATCTTGTTATATTTTAATATCCTTTATATAAACTTTGCTTTTGTTCATGTGTTTAGGGTAAAATCTTTGGATGGCTAATTGACCCACTTCCCATCATCCTATCAAAATGAAACTTGGCACATAGACTTGCTCACATTTTTTCAAATTTTCAGCCCCAACCCTGAAAAATCAGTTTTTCCTGTTTTTCAAGGGGAAGATGAATGCAATATGAGTTGTCCAGTGGGTGCATGATTTAGTGTGGAGATTAATAATGTTACTATATGCTTTGTATTTGTGACTTTTACGTATCGCTATATTGTGCAGAGAATTTAATCTCTTATTTTATTCTATGGCTCGTTGATAAACAGTACATAACAAAGTATGATACCATTAATTAAATACAGTAATAAGAAACTATACCCAAACTAGGGCTCATTACAAATAATAATTTATTAAGTTAACTTTAAAATGACAAAATCAAAAAGAATAAAACTAAGGCTATTCACTTACAGTACAGCGATGAACTGGTACCGGTACAATGTTGGAAGTTGCACACACAGTAAATATAATGTACAATATCTCCGATCAGTACAGTATGTCACTCCATTAGTCTCTCTCCCTTGTCTTGTATCGTAAACTCTGTCTCACTCTTTGTCTCGCAGTCTCTATCTAGCTCACACTGCCCCCTAAGTCGATCTGCTTATTAATAGTCTTTCATAGAGACTTTTCTAGAAAGGGGTTACACATTGTACCTGCATCTCGACCTGTCTATTAAGTTCTAAAGAATTCTACTACAGACTGTGTTTACATGTAGTCACGGACAAGGAAGACATTTAGTAATTAAACCAACTCATCGTCACCAAACTTGGGGTCACCCAGAGTTCATGCACGGGATGTACGAGATGCATGAAAAACATGGCATAAACACGATGTCTAAATAATATTTTAGTTTAATTATATCTTTAGTTTATTAGGTTTCATAACCACTAAGTTTAATAAAACAATTCCTCTACTAAAAATCAGTGTTGCGATCACATATATTATAAATCATTTACCAGAACATAAATGCAAAGAAAAATGCATATAAAGGATTTGTATGAAAAACTTTTTTTTTTGGGGTCATTTATTCAACTAAAATGTCTTAAAAATAAATCTTCCTGTTTCAGACCAACCATTAAAAACTCTAAGAAGTGAAACTCTGCAGGCAACTTGATAATAGATCTGTTATTTTACAAGATTTTCTTTGTGGTTGCCGAGATTTTAATTGTACTTATTTCATTTGTTTACCACTCAATCTTGTAGAGGATGTGGCAGACATGGCCGCCAGGACTCTGCTGAGAAAGAGGACCTCACACATTCATCGTGCCACCATCAGACTCAACAGAGACGAAGAGCTAGAGGAGCGCATTGTGGAGTCCATAGAGCTAGACCTGAGCAGCAATGATGAGCTAGCAGAAGATCTTGGAGCGGCCGTCAGAACTATTCCAACTACACTCAGCAAGAAGAGAAATATCAAGTAATAACAGTGCTATTAGATCTCAATTAGAACTTAATAGTTAGTTCAATGTAAGACTCATGAATAATTCTAGATTTCCATTAACCCAAGGTTGGGCAAACTTTTTGTGCAGAGGGCTACCTGACAATTTTCCAGGAATCTAGAGTTAGAGATTAAACCTAATGTATTACATTGAATAACTAGTTACTAGCTTATAGATTGGACAGTGTTAGTCTGTTATTATTAAGCTACAAAGTTTTAAAATATTTAATGACATTTTTGTTCCAAGGCCGGCTTTGTAGAGAATCCTCATTAGTATCAGTGAGCTGAAACCCAAATATTTGGATTCAGTGATGTTCATCACTGAGATAGATTGCTCTCAGAGGTTTGCTGAGCCACATGAAACAATCATTTTTTGATCAAAATGTTATATTTGAAACCTTATCTATTTTATGAGATGAATAAGATTGTGTTATTTCAAATTTCAATGTTGTTTAATTTCTCTTTGAGCATGTTATCAGTCTGCAAGACTATAAGTACCAGCTGCCAATCAGTAGAATATTTTTCAATATATACTAGAAATGGCATGGTGAGAAGAAGAAACTGGTTCACAATAAATAAACGGTTTATTGTTTTTTTTAACCTTAAGGTCAGTAAATATACTGGCCATTGTAGCCGCTTCCTGAACAGATGATGACTTGGAAAAGGTTGTTTGTTCCTGTTTTAAAATACTCTCCAGATCAACAGCTTTGTGCTTAAGATCATATTCAGAATTACCATGTTTAGTCTGAGAATGTCGTCTGAGATTACATTCTTTGAAAAGGATCACATACTTCGGACAGGCTAAGCACACAGCATTTGGTCTGATATCATTGAATCAATATTCCGACATGCTAAGCACACAGCATTTGGTCTGATATCATTGAATCAATATTCCGACATGCTAAGCACACAGCATTTGGTCTGATATCATTTAATCAATATTCCGACATGCTAAGCACACAGCATTTGGTCTGATATCATTGAATCAATATTCCGACATGCTAAGCACACAGCATTTGGTCTGATATCATTGAATCAATACGTAGATATCCAGTGCACTAAGTTGAATGGTTTTATTCCGAGCTGAGTTCATTGATTTTGTTACTCAGCCAGATTATTTAGAGACTTGAGGAGCTCCTTTAGTAGACAGCAATAAATATGGGCTTTGAAAGTTCAATACGAGTTCTGTTTGAAAATTAACAGTAGAGTATTGTTTTAATTTGATGTGATGTTATTATTACAGGTAGACAATTGTCTACTAATTAAGAAATTTCCAGGCCTGTACAGATAATCATTAAAAAATGTGTCTATTTTACAAAATTAATCTAGTTCCAGGAAGGTCTTGCGGGGCTTCATTATACATTTCAGTGGGCGGCATGTGGCCCGTGGGCTGCAGTTTGCACACACCTGCATTTACCAATATCCTGTCTCTTACTATCTTGACTGTCAATCACACAAAATTTTTTTTAAAGAAGAGCAGTACAAAATTAACTTAAAAGCAGCCAATAAAAGGGAGGCTTTCAATCGTAATTTATATTTTAGTTATTGTCATGTTTAATGTGTGCTTCATTTTTCTATCATGAATTTGTGTGCCAAATGTGATATGGGAAACAGAATTGAAATTGTTAAAATGTGTTTGAAAAATTTCAAAAGTGTTTTACCTTTTTCAGGAGAAAATTGACCCAGAGAAGAAAAAAGCCAAAGACAAAATGGCTTCTCTTGAAATATCATCTGACCAGGGTAAGCGTACTACTAAAACTACTCATGACAGATCAAGGACACTTATCTTTAGGATAATTCATGTGCTGTTCTTTCAAACTCTTGAGGACACATTAAATTTGTCTTGATGAATGGCTTCTTATAGACAGATTTACCATACATCTAGGAACATTACCATTCCATATTCACCATATTGATGAATTGATTCCTATTGACACATCTACTTCCACCTACCAAATTGAACAACATGCTAAATTAGCATACATTACATTTATCCTATTGCATTAGAATTGGATTTAGAAATAAAACTTATCCTCTTAATGTGAAATCAATATTCATGAATCCTATAGGACTTAAAGCTTACTATTTATTAATCTAATCAGGACAGTTTTTCTTTAAATATAAAAGGTATTAAGAATACAAACTACTCAGCAGCTCATAGATCTGCTTTTTTAAATGAAAGGTATTAAGAATACAAACTACTCAGCAGCTCATAGATCTGGTTTTTTAAATGAAAAGGTATTAAGAATACAAACTACTCAGCAGCTCATAGATCTGCTTTTTTAAATGAAAAGGTATTAAGAATACAAACTACTCAGCAGCTCATAGATCTGCTTTTTTAAATGAAAAGGTATTAAGAATACAAACTACTCAGCAGCTCATAGATCTGCTTTTTTAAATGAAAGGTATTAAGAATACAAACTACTCAGCAGCTCATAGATCTGCTTTTTTAAATGAAAAGGTATTAAGAATACAAACTACTCAGCAGCTCATAGATCTGCTTTTTTAAATGAAAGGTATTAAGAATACAAACTACTCAGCAGCTCATAGATCTGGTTTTTTAAATGAAAGGTATTAAGAATACAAACTACTCAGCAGCTCATAGATCTGCTTTTTTAAATGAAAAGGTATTAAGAATACAAACTACTCAGCAGCTCATAGATCTGGTTTTTTAAATGAAAGGTATTAAGAATACAAACTACTCGGCAGCTCATAGATCTGCTTTTTTAAATGAAAGGTATTAAGAATACAAACTACTCAGCAGCTCATAGATCTGGTTTTTTAAATGAAAGGTATTAAGAATACAAACTACTCGGCAGCTCATAGATCTGCTTTTTTAAATGAAAAGGTATTAAGAATACAAACTACTCAGCAGCTCATAGATCTGCTTTTTTAAATGAAAGGTATTAAGAATACAAACTACTCAGCAGCTCATAGATCTGCTTTTTTAAATGAAAGGTATTAAGAATACAAACTACTCAGCAGCTCATAGATCTGCTTTTTTAAATGAAAAGGTATTAAGAATACAAACTACTCAGCAGCTCATAGATCTGCTTTTTTAAATGAAAGGTATTAAGAATACAAACTACTCAGCAGCTCATAGATCTGCTTTTTTAAATGAAAGGTATTAAGAATACAAACTACTCAGCAGCTCATAGATCTGCTTTTTTAAATGAAAGGTATTAAGAATACAAACTACTCGGCAGCTCATAGATCTGGTTTTTTAAATGAAAGGTATTAAGAATACAAACTACTCGGCAGCTCATAGATCTGCTTTTTTAAATGAAAGGTATTAAGAATACAAACTACTCGGCAGCTCATAGATCTGGTTTTTTAAATGAAAGGTATTAAGAATACAAACTACTCAGCAGCTCATAGATCTGCTTTTTTAAATGAAAGGTATTAAGAATACAAACTACTCAGCAGCTCATAGATCTGCTTTTTTAAATGAAAGGTATTAAGAATACAAACTACTCGGCAGCTCATAGATCTGCTTTTTTAAATGCAAATTTTGCATTGAAATAGCTTTCTTAAATTCTCTGGTTTTAGGTACAAGGATTTAAAAAAAATTTCTTTCAACAACAAGCCATTATGATCGTATGCATGTTTAATTTAAGACCCAATTCAAAGTTTAAAGCTGGTTCCTGCATCATTTGAAAACTAATGCATCTTGTTTATCCTCAGTTGGGAAGAAATATGATGTTTGAGAAAAGACGAATGTCACGAGCTCTTGACCTCTGGCGCTCCCATCTGTTGATTATTGAAGGGTCATTTGGGACAAGCGTCGTCTCCTACTTTATATTTCTCAAGTGGGTGCTGCTGATCAACATTCCTGTTTTTCTACTGACGTTTTGTTTCCTGGTCATCCCACAAATTTTGTTCCGCTGGTATCAGAAGAACCCAGCAGGTTACAAGGATGCGGAGCCCTTCCGTGGAATTGAACTGCTAACAGGAACTGTGAGTTGATTGTGAACAACAGCATTAGAAATATGCTTGTCTTCTTTAAACTGAGATATTCCAAACTTGTAGCTTGATTCAATGAGTGCTTTGATTTAAGATTTCTATATGATTTAAACTAAATATTCAAATGCTTTAAAAAAGCTGCTAAAGATATGAAGAAAAAAATAATAATCTCAATATTTCTATATATATAGACCCTATATTTATTAACATTAGATAGAATAAAGATTATAAAATGACTGTAAAGTGCAAATGTAAATTTCAAAGGTTGAACAAACGGAGACCCTTGTCATTTGCAGCCTTCCTGTCATAAATTTAAAAACAATTTTAAAAAAAATGTGTACGACATGATTTAGCTAACACAAAGATATCAGTTAGATTTCCATGGTTAATTTGGTCTAGTCATTAGAATATGATCAGAGTTTCAAAGTTATGATTTATCAATTTTAATGATGATGTTGATTTAAAGAAGGCTATACTTTTGATCCTCATTTAAAACTTTAAAAAATGTTGGAATTAAAAAAAAATCCTGTAATTTTCAGAAATCTTCAGTGCAATTTAAATTATTTGTGAATCATGGGTGAATTTCATTTGAAGATACTCCCTAAATTTTTAATCTATGAAGATACAAATTAGTTTCATGTAGGTTCTGACCATAACATGTTTTTTTTAAAAATGCCCCAAAATGCAGTTTGCACAGTTAAACGGCAATGTGAGTAATATTAAGTAGCTATGACTATTGTTTCAATAATGGTAAAGGAACATACTCATTAATCTATTGCAAGATGCAACAAAGTAACTTTTCATTTTTTAAAGAAAAAAAAAAAAACGGCTTATAAAAATAAAAAGTTATGATATTTTTGCAATGCAACTTTTTTTCTTCTGCAAAACGGCAATGTGAGTAATATTAAGTAGCTATTACTATTGTTTCAATAATGGTAAAGGAACATACTCATTAATCTATTGCAAGATGCAACAAAGTAACTTTTCATTTTTCAAAGAAAAAAAAAAAAAAAACGGCTTATAAAAATAAAAAGTTATGATATTTTTGCAATGCAACTTTTTTTCTTCTGCGTTTGTCCATGTCATTAATGCATTTGTTATTATATTTTCACCCAGTTTTAAAAAAACCCCAGCAACATCAGCATTTAAAAGTATTTATACGTTATTGTTGGCAACAAGGAGCTTTGAACTCTCTCTCCCCCCCCCCCCCCCCCCCCATGGTTAACATTTGTAACAACTTGTTCCGTCTCAACATAGGGCTACTTTGAGAACACTGAGATGTATTATGGTTTTTATACCAACCAAACAGTGGAGATATTCACAGGCTCCTTCTACAAGATGAACTACGCCTACATCTTGACTTGTTCAGGCTACTACATCTTGTGTTTGCTTATCTTAGGCTACAGGTAAGTCATATTTTATCAATTATCTCTTGCAAGTTATGTACTTTTAAAATTTGGTACTGTTAAAATAATTTGCCTCTCAAGTTGTGCTGACATGGACAGTCAGTCACACCCTCAGATTAACTGAAGTAATTTGCAATAATGTATTAGAAAAAAAAAAAAATTAAGCTGTATTTCCTGGGAGAAAGGTGCTGTTAGAGCCTCATTTGGAGACAAGAAATAATTAAAGTTATCGTAACCTATTATTTAGTGCTTTCACCTGATGAAAGATCATCCTAAGTTCCACTATAAAGATCTTTTTTAAAGTCACTGAGATCAAATACCCAAATAAAACTGCTGGCTTTTGCTGATGTTGCCATGACCGTGTTTGCATCTGGTAGCTTTTTTTTTTTATTATTAATGCATCAATGTATTTCAGGCTGTTATTGAGCCAGGTATGGTATATTAAATATTTATGGCGGTATTTTCAATTTACAAAATATAATTTAGTTTGTTTTACCTAGCAAATAAAACTCCGCAAATGTGCATTGCTGGAATCACATCATCAATTTTTCTGCCCCAGTTACCTCCGATCCTATCGCAAGTACTACATTGAGGCTGGCAGCACCATCAACATGTATTATTTCAATCTTGTTGTCAGTGGTTGGGACTATGGCATAACATCCACAGAGACCAGTGAGCTCAAACATCGGAGTCTTTACAATGAATTTAAGGTTTGGATGTGTGTGTCCTTCAGTCAACAGTCAAAACACTCTTATCCCAGAAAGTATCTGTGTTTTTGTGTGTGTGTTAAATTGCTCATGGTTAGTACTGGATCTTCCTTTAGGTAAAAAAATGCTTATTTAATAGCTTTTTCTCGTGAAGATTTTAATTTAAAAGACTGGTAATATAATTATTTTACACTGCTACACAGAGTTCTCAGATTTATTTAAATACATGGCTTTAAGATAACCGCATGACAAACACAATACATGGCTTTAAGATTACTACATGACAAACACAATACATGGCTTTAAGATAACTACATGACAAACACAATACATGGCTTTCAGATAACTACATGACAAACACAATACATGGCTTTCAGATAACTACATGACAAACACAATACATGGCTTTCAGATAACTACATGACAAACACAATACATGGCTTTAAGATAACTACATGACAAACACAATACATGGCTTTAAGATTACTACATGACAAACACACGCGTCTGCAAATAATTAACTATTGTATTTAACAGTAAATGAATGTATTTTATTTCGTCCTCTCCTAGGAAATCTTATCTGGATCACAGATTGAGCATAAGCTAGAACGAGATGAGTTGGTTAGAGTCTGGATGATACGTGGAGCAGTTTGGATGGCAGTAATCTGTCTGTTGGCTTTATGTGGATATGCTACATTTGAAGTTTCTACAAGCCTGTCTATCAACAGAGAGGACACAGTAAATGCAGTAAGTTTCCATCACTCATCTTTGTCTTGGTTGGTCATGGGACAAAACGGGTTTTAAAGAAAACAAACACTCTTATCCTTGAAAATATCTGTGTTTTTGTGTGTTAAATTGCTAATTATAAATTCTGGATCTTCGTAAAGGTGAAAAAATTTTTAATAGCTATTTCTCATGAAGATTTTTATGATATGATTAATATATATAACAGAGTAACAAAAAAATTCATGAATAATCTCCCCTAAGCTGTGCATGTATTCTATCCTGTGGACATCCTTGTGAAATGAAGAAATCACAGTCAAATGAATATAGTTTATATAAAGTCTCATTTTTGTAAAATTTTGAGTTTTTAACACAGGTCATTAGTAATTTTATCCCCCAAAAAATGGAATCATGATAAATTCTAAAGCAATTTAGCTGTAATCATAGATAATGCATGGATTAATTAAGTTGCATGTGAGAATGCAAGTTCCTATACTTTCATTAATGCAGTGAACACAGTATGGTCCAACTTGACAAAGACAAAGCTATTCAGCATACTGTTTTACAACCTTATATTTCTCTGTTTCGGGGGGGGGGGGGGGGTCTTGGGGAAAAAAGGGTGTTGTTTTTTTTTTTACTTTTTTTTTGTTGGGGGGGGGGGGGGGGGGGGGTCATGTGGAAAAAAGGTTGTTGTTTTTTTTACTCTATGTGGACATAAAGTTTGAACGAGTTTGGTGAGTAGCACAAGCTAAGAATGAATTCAAATGTCTTTACATCAAATTTATGAAAGCTTGAGACTTTCTTGTGGCTACATTAAAGCTGACTTTACGGATATCTTACTTGATGCAAAAGAAATTGTCAAAAATTGTCAGAGCAGAAGCTTTCAAGAGTTAACTGGGTTCAAATAGTTTTTTTTTCTCAAATAGCAACCATCTTTACAGATTATGAGTTTGGTAAAGAAATTGAATAAGTTTTTCTTGTTGCTGCTAAGTAGTATTTAAAATGGAGAGTTGGCAGAAGGGGCAAGACTTATCGGACGGCCACGCCTCAGATTTATGGACATATGCAAAAGGAGCATGAAGGAAGCCAATATTGAAAACAACGAATGGGAGCTCATTGCCTATCAACATTTCAAAAGGCCAACAGCAGTGTATGAAGGGGTAAAAAAGGCAGAAGATACGTGAAATGAGGCCCTTGCAACAAAAAGAACAGTACGGAAGTCAAAATCTTACGAGGAATCAATATTCTCCTGCAAGAAATGCAGTCGAGATTGTCATTCTAGGATTGGCCTAGTGAACCACCTGTCGAAGTGTAGGACTACATAGCTACTCCATCGTCTCCGGATGATGGAAATAATGTCAACAACTTAGCATCTTTTTGAATGCAGCCTTTGCTCATTTGCAGACCAACAAAGTATTGGTGAGTCCACTGGCCATGCCCGTGGTGCTGTCCCTCATTCAACTCTTCGTCCCTATGATCTTCACCTTTCTTGAAGCGTACGAGGCTTATCAAATGCCAAAGTATGAACTCTACGTCCATATGTTCAGGTATGTGCATTATTTCAGAGATTATTTTCAAGTTTTAGTTATGCCAATAACCATATGAAATTTTTTTTATACCAAAATCATAGTGGTTGGATGAATTGGACAAGAATAAATGTTCAAATACACCATTGAATAATTTGTCCTTTGTAAGAAAGCAGTTTTAAAGGGTACACAAAATATAACTTATTTTAAATGTTTTTTTAAAAATCTTATTTTATCACATATGGTTTTGAAAATAATTTATACTTACCTAATATGAGGCATTCTAAATGAAAAATTTCATAATGAGATTAAATAATATTCCACTATTGCCCTAGATGGAGCTTGGTTTCATTAGTACGTAACCAGCAAATTTATTGCTGTATCACAAATTTTAATAAACTAGTAACATTTGAATGCTCTCCTTATAATGCATCTAATGCCTAAGTATTGCCATATTTAAAAAAAAAAATAAGAACCATACAATCTGAACTTAAATCTTGAATATCTTCCCAGAGAGATGGCTCTGAAGGCGACCATGTTGGCTGTGCTTGTTTTTTTCTGGCTAGACATTGCACCACGGAGTATTAAGGTAAAAAAAAAAATAATGTAATTCCAGTTAGTTGTTCTCTTACTCAGCATGCACCTGGAGGGGCTAGATTAGGAACGTTGGCTGTCCAGCTTCACGATATCAGCACAACAAAGATAAACAAGCTGTTGTTCTGAATGTTGACCGATGTAAAAAAAAAAACAAGAAAAAAGAACTCCGCAGGCTTAAAATAAACGTCAGCGGGATTAGTCGGCAGTTCTGTTCAAAGCTCTCAAACAGTTTGCCAGCATCATAGCACATATTTCTCCTGAGCCATTTGAATGTCATTTGGAAGAAAAGTGTCAACACACATGAAGGGTAGTTGTTGTTGGCAGTATTTTTAAAGCTTAAGTTTTACACAGTGTTTGCTAAGTCAATATTTCTATCCTCAAGAAGAGGATGCAATGGCTCTAAAAAAGTTACTGTTTAGCTTATGTTCCTTATGGCTACAGGAGAAAGTGATTATTTAGCTTATGTTCCTTAGGGCTAGAGGATAAAGTGACTGTTTAGCCTATGTGCCCTATGGCTAGAGGACAAAGTGACTGTTTAGATTACGTTCCTTTCCCAACTGGACAAAGACAGCCTTTTTCAGTAGTGGCCTGAAACAGCATGGGAAGGAATTAATGGATCAAATGTATTTTTTATTTACATTGTGGTGAGACTTTGAAATATGTTAAGGTAACAGCTCAGGCCTGCTTGATATTTGTTTTAGTCTATTGAGAAATTATTGTTTTTGTCAGACTGAACTGTCAGACTGTTCTGAAGTCTTTGGATTAAAATCTACTTTCTTTCCAGCATGGCCATATGTTAACTTACAAAGAGCAGGTGATCAGTTTGTTAAACATTCAAATGAAATTGTTTTGTTTTTATAACAAAAAAAGGTTGTTTTGTCTCCTTTGGATTTTAATTTTTTAATTAAAGCAATTATATTTTGATGGTTTTTTAAACTTGCTATGTGTATTTTGTTTCGTAAGCACTGAACCAAGAGACAAAATTAATCAAAATTATATTGGATATGACTTTGTTGCTGTATTTCTTGCCTCTATATAGTCCCTTTCCCTCTAAAAGTTATGATAATGATTTGCCTCAGATCAGACTTAATTACTTTTAATCCATTGGTTAATATACAGATAACAAATTTTGAGCTATTAATTTTTATGCCCAAATAAGTGTTTTTCAGCGTAATAAAAAAATACAAAACAATAAAGACAAAAACAAACTGCAATGAAATTGTTTATTAAAGTAGGTTATCAATCAAATTATTCAAATAATTTGTAAACAAGACACTAATGTGAATATCCTTTTGTTTCATTTCATTGAAGTGCTGGGAAACTTTTGTTGGAGAGGAACTCTACCGCTTGGTTGTTATAGATCTGCTTTTCGCCCTTGGCTACTCTTTCTTTATGGAGTACATTCGCAAGTAAGTGATGATCTGAAGTATTCTTTCACAAAAATAATAGAGCTTGATTGTAGTTCCATAGTCTAGTGCAAGAGCCGTCTCATGACTTTTGGCGGCCCCCTGCCAATGTTTTGGTTTGTGCCCCTTGGATTCACATGTGATATTTTAATTAATTTTTTTTTTGCTACATCACACCATTGGACCCATTAAATATGTGAGGCCTCGCTTGATGACCTTGCCTAGTGCCACTTCCTAGTGTCATGGCCTAATGTTATGTTATGTCATGGTTGTACTTTCCTTAGCCTTAGAGCACATATGACTTATCATTCTGAATGAAAATGACTGACCATTCAATGACCAGGTGAGAGTTGTAAAATAAAAGCTATAAAGATTCTTAAAGCCTAAAATGAATCTTGTGAAGCAAAGATCTGAGACACTAAGATGCTAAAATATAAGGGTGAGCATTAAAACTTATTAGCCAAATTATGTCAAATTTAACATTCATTTCCTTAGACATATTTGCCTGTAAAGTATCATCATTATGAGAGACATCACAATCTTATGTCCATTTTATATTGTTATCACATGGTTGGGGCAAGTCAAATAAAAATTGTACCTTTTATTTAGATTGATAGCACATAGGTGGGCTAAAGTCGCAAAAGCTGAGTTTGCAATCGGCCGACACACTCTGGACCTCGTCTACTCTCAAAGTTTGTGTTGGTAAATTTTAAAAAATTATTTCTTGAAAAGGAAATTAAAAAAAAAATTATTTGTTTAATCTAATCCTGTTTTTATTTTATTTTGTGTGCTACTAAGGAAGACAACAACATAATTTAGCCATTTTATAAGTCAAACAGTAGTCTTATAAATATTGAAAATCTGTGCTTTAATCTTTTCTTGTTAGTGTTGTTAATTATCTTGAAAATGCCCCCGTCCTTTTTTTGTTTGTTGTTGATGTGTGTCAATTATGATTTATCTTGACAATTTCCTATTTTTAGTGTGTCATTGTTGATATTTAACTTGAAAATGTCCCATTTTTTGTATTGATAATGTTATTTGTTTTAACAATTTACCATTTTTAGTGTGTTAATGTTGATATTTATCTTGACAATTTCCCTTTTTTTTTTTTTTGTTGTTGAATGCAAAGGCTTGGAATCTTCTACTCCCCTCTTCTGCCAGCTGTTGTCATTATGAAGCTTGTCATTCTGTTTTATGTCAAAAGAGTAAGTAGAGCCTGCAAAGAAAAGCATGTCAAAATAATGACATGAATGCTTTATGAGGTTAACTTTAAAAAGAAACAACTCTTGTTCTTTTGTATTTAATTGCTGTTCATTTCTAGTCTTTGACTAATGCCAACTGCCACTGTTTGGATTGATTTAAAACATTTAAATTACTATATGCCATTGACATGAGGTATGAAAGTTGAATATCTACTCCACATTTCAGTACAGCGTTGTTCACAACTGCTCACCATCTGTCAAGCCATGGAGAGCCTCGCGAACACACACCATCTTTGTTGGATATCTTTTCATTTTCTTCATCCTCAGTTGCGTAGCAGTGGGATTTGGTGTGTTTCTGTAAGTTTTTTTTGTCCTTATCATTTTGTCACAGAATTTCACATATTGCAAGGAAAAAATCTTTTCTTTTAACACATAACACCCTTTTCTTTTAACACGTAACACCCTTTTCTTTTAACACGTAAGCCCCTTTTCTTTTAACACATATCACCCTTTTCTTTTAACACATAACACCCTCTTCTTTTAATGTATAACACCCTTTTCTTTTAACGCATAACACCCTTTTCTTTTAACACATAACACCCTTTTCTTTTAACACATAACACCCTTTTCTTTTAACACATAACACCCTTTTCTTTTAACACATAACACCGTTTTCTTTTAACGCATAACACCCCTTTCTTTCAACACATCACACCCTTACTAACTATTTTAACTATTTTTCATTGCTCAGCATTAAGCCTAGTGACACCTGTGGACCCTATCAAAATTTTACCACCACTTATGAAGTCATCTACACATTGATTGACTCCTGGAAGGCAGAGAGTCCAGTGATGAAGGAAATCTTTGCGTTCATCGACTCCCCAGGATTCATTGCAGGGCTTCTCATCTTCTTTTTGTAAGTTACAGTGCTTGGGTGCCAGCTGTTACAGTGGTTGGGTGCCAGCTGTTACAGTGGTTGGGTGCCAGCTGTTACAGTGGTTGGGTGCCAGCTGTTACAGTGCTTGGGTGCCAGCTGTTGTAGTTCTTATAGACTATGTATGTATGTGTCTTGGGTGCCAGCTGTTATATTTCTTATAGACTATATGTGTGTGTCGTGGGTGCCAGCTGTTATAAACTGTATGTATGTATGTGTTATGAGTGCCAGGTGTTACATTTCTTATATACTGTATTTGTGTATGCATGTGTCTTGGATTCCAGCTGTTATAGTTCTTATAAACTGTAGGTCTGTATGTGTCTTGAGTGCCAATTGTTATATTTCTTATAGAATGTGTGTCTGGATGTGTCTTGAATGCCAGTTTTTATATTTCTTATAAATTGTATGTTTGTATGTGTCTTGGGTGCCAGCTGTTATATTTCATATAGACTGAATGTGTGTAAGCATTTGTATGTGGACAATAACATGTTTTTACAACAAAAAACCCCCAAGAAAATTAAGCCTGTGTTAATGATCATACGTCATTCCATTTTTCAATTTGAGGAAAGTGGAGGGTTCTATTTTGTGTTTTCTTTAATTGATGTATTTCTGGAAAGGTGATCTTCTTATCTCATATTAAGTTGATTTAATTCTAAATGCAGACTCTCAATGAGGTCACCTGGATGCAACTGGAATAAGAACCAACTATTACAAAATAAATTAATGTATTTAACTTTTGAGTTAGTGTAATGTCTGAATGTGCCTTTCTATCTTTATTTAGTATGGTTCTGTATTACACAAGAACAATCAGCTTGAGTCACAAAGCCATGGTGGACCTGTTCAAGCTGCAGCTGATATCTGTATGTCCATCATTTTAGTTCAATATTTGTTCACTACAAAATGGAAGTTTTGAAGATAAAAAAAAATTAAATATATACATATATTTTATTTTTAAATGTGAACTGCTGCCATGATCTTATAAAGTATTACAATCTGAAATTGTGATGTTGTTCATTTGGTAATGCATTTAACTACCCAGAACCCAAACTTTTGACACAATTTTACACACAGTTTTATGCCTTACTATGATTTTGGTTAATTGCTTTTTTTTTCATAATTATCTATAATTGCGTTGATCTGTTTAAAGAAATGTATAAAAAATCTCTTATAACCCGCTCACAAGGCCAACCACCCCAATTATTCCCTTAAAAATGTCCCCAACAAAAAAAAAGTTGATTCTAAAATTGGTATATATGGTAAACCTGCATTTTTAAAAAGAAAAAATCAGTCATGTTTATTATAATGAGACTCATTCAATATGGAACTACATCCTCAACATATCTTTGTGATCACCTCTCAAGACATCTTAAAATAGTTTGGTTTCATTAATTAATTAAGTAAATTTGCGCGGCCCCCCCCCCCCCGCTTTTTTGCATGGTAATGTATTCATTGAATTCCTCACCAGGAGGGTAAAGATAAAAAGTTCCTGATGAACCTGCTGAACCAGGTGAAGATCAGGGGCAATAAAAGGGGCATAACTCACCCAGGACCTGCACTCTTGAAGAACATGGAGTCCTGCAGTGCTTTACCTGGTGAGTCATAGTAAATGTTGAGCACAGTTACTCACCCCGCTGTAGCGGCCTCTTGAGATTATCTAGCTAGTTAATATATCTATTATCGTCCAGAGCCTTATTCAATTTTGTAGAATCCATTATAAATTAATAATTTAAAAATAACACCAACACACTAATCATTTGACTAAATTCCTCAGTAACTTAGGCTTGCAGAAGTCAGCTCATGTTATCACTGAATTAATTAGATACAAGTTTCATTCATGCTGACATTTTAAGCTTTGGACTTATTCCCTAGAATTTATTAAAACATTATGTGTAACATTATCTATGTTAGGAATCTTTGAAAGAATGTTTATTCTCTTGTTTTCCAGGTTTAGAATCTCGTGGTGAGTCATTTTGTTCAGTGGTGTTTAAAACAATGATAACTGCATTAATCTTTAAAAATCCATTTGATTGATGAGGTTTGGGAAAATTCTGATCCAGCCCACATGAACCACTAAAAAAATTTAAACATTTGAATTGAATTGAATACTTTTATATCGCTTTTATCCATGCTGTTTCAGCATGCTCACAGCGCTCTGATGTCCTTAAATCTATTTAAAGAAAAACATCTTTCAATGTTTTTTAAATGACTTTCAATCATTTTCAATTTCCCTCAAAGACTGAGGCAAACTGTACCATAATTTAGGCGCAATAGCTTTAAAATAGCAGTGAAAGTAATACAATGTTGTAATCAATTCGTCTACAATCTAGATAAATATGAGCAGAAAAGCAAAAAGTAATATTTGTAAACAAATCGCATCAAACATTTGATGCACCGTTAAAGTGCACCGTAATTATGTACTATTGGAAAACAAAAACTTGCACACAAAAATTACACGCATTCTGCTATCACAAAAAATGTCATTCAATTGCAGTTAATTTTTATTTTTCGGATCCGAAGCATGTCTGTGACTTTAATTTCTTTTAGATTTGAATTTACTTTTGAATTTGTATTAATGACAATGTTAATGTTGCTGGTTAGAAGAAACTGAACTTTATTTCAAAAATGTTGTTTTGTCTGTGCACTCAGCACAATGGTGTCCTAATAATGAGTGACTTGTGGTGACATTTGCATACAAAAAGGTGGCTAGACTTTATCATTGTGCAAGACCAAGTTTTGATGTGTGAAATAGTGCACCCCATGACCTCTCTCAATGCTTGTCAGGTTTATGTTTGTGACAAATATCAGACAGACGTAGTTTGTGTGTGTACTTCACATATGGATTTTTGTGTGTTGTAATTTGAAAATGCCGAGTTTAAAATTAGGTTTATATAATGAACAATATATTTTTTTTGTATTCTTCACATAATGCAATGAATTTAATGTTAACATTTTTTGTCAAGCATTAACTGTAAGACACATCTGATTAGTCTCACATTTGATTTATCTGATAAGTCTCGCATTCGGTTTGTCTGATAAGTCTCACATTCGGTTTGTCTGATAAGTCTCACATTCGGTTTGTCTGATAAGTCTCACATTCAGCTTGTCCAATATTTTATTGTGATTTTATAGGCAATGATTCCAAATGAATGGTATGTCTATCTTTGCAGGAGGAAAAGTCTTTGTGCGAACTGTTGCTGAGAACATGATGGCTGGCTCATCAGGTGCAAAATAAGGAACAACGGAACAGTCTTACAGATTGTGTTGACATCAGACAGGTGTACAGATTGTGTTGACATCAGACAGGTGTACAGATTGTGTTGATATGGCAGACGTACAGATTTTGTTGACATCAGACGGATTTACAAATTGTATTGAAATGGCAGACGTACACATTGTGTTGACTGATTTATTTAATTAATTAAATGGTGAAGTATGACAATTCTATTAAATGCCGTATCTCTGCAGGTGTGAAGACGATTGCACGCAATGTTCCTGATCTTCGGATGGCAGAAGCATCAGGTGCAATATAAAAGACTAAATGTCCAGTTATTAATAAAGATAGGTGGACAGGTGGAATACAATGAGATATTTCATAGTACAGATTAAACTAAAATAGAGAAATGGAATATATAGTGAGATAATTTATAGTACAGATTTGAGCTAAAATAGAGAGGTGAGATGTAAAGTGAGATATTTCATAGTACAGATTAAACCAAAATAGAGATGTGGAATATAGGGAAAGCTATTATCTTGTTAAAAGCTTGAATTAATATAGAATAACAATGTTACTGATTCATAAGTTGCAAAAGGCGAAACAAATATTTCTGTTGTGAAAAATGCCACCTGGCTTATTTAACCATGGATGAATAATTATAAGACATCAATTTGTAGAAACTTGAAATCACATTTAGCCGTTGCATAAAACTTTGAGCTTTTGAAGATTTGAAAATTATTAAAAAATGATCAAACCAGGACACAAAGATCTTATTAGAAAATAGTTAATTGTAAGTTCCATTTAAAAAAAAAAATCGGAGATGATGGTTTATGATTATGTAAGTGGTACTTTCAATAAATAGATTCAACACTCTTGATATCTGGTTGTGTAGAACCAATGTATATCCTGTTTCCAATGTATATCATTTAGGACTATCCTGTTTCCAATGTATATGGTTATGGACTATCCTGTTTCCAATGTATATGGTTAAGGACTATCCTGTTTCCAATGTATATCATTTAGGAATATCCTGTTTCCAATGTATATCATTTAGGACTATCCTGTTTCCAATGTATATGGTTATGGACTATCCTGTTTCCAATGTTGTTGTTCGTCCGTCGAGGATCGACGATGACCATCGAGTCGTCTGGTGACTGATGACTTGCGCGGGTGACTTTTGTTTAAAGTGAGGAAGAGTTGCGCAGCGTCAACCTCACTCTCTCGTCCGAGCCCACCATATCCAGTGGCAAGACTCTACGTCAAGACGACCAGGGATGGGTACGGTTGCAGGAATGGACATTGTATGCGCCTTACGGGACTCCAACTCCGGGTTTGAATTCAGAGTTTCCTTCTCTTAGATGAGTTGCCGACCAAGGTTAACGAGTCTCATCCACCCGGGGTGATGTTTTTGCTTGACCGGCCTTTGGCTGAAATTGAGGTTTGCTCAGTTTATAGCCACTTCCAGACAACGATTCCAATGTATATCATTTAGGACTATCCTGTTTCCAATGTATATGGTTATGGACTATCCTGTTTCCAATGTATATCATTTAGGACTATCCTGTTTCCAATGTATATCATTTAGGACTATCCTGTTTCCAATGTATATCATTTAGGACTATCCTGTTTCCAATGTATATCATTTAGGACTATCCTGTTTCCAATGTATATGGTTAAGGACTAACCTGTTCCCCTATTGGTGCAATGCTATCTCAAACTCCATTTTATGGACGTGATATTTGTATATCCTGCAAGTTATCTTTTCCTTTATTTAATCATCTTGTTGAACTTTCACTCACGCCTCAGGTCTTGAATTATTTATGACTCCACTCAACTGAATTTTACACTGGCACAGTCGAACCATATTTTTAATTTTGGTTCCAAGACGCAACATATCAGGGTAACTGGAGCCATGAAGGAAATCCTGGTAAGCCTTGATGAGTGATTTTTGGTCTGATGTCAATGTAAACACACCTGTCCACTCTATGCACAGGTCTGGTTGATGTACAGTTTGTGTTGATGACACACAGATGTGCTGGACGTGCAGAGACAACAGTAGAATTGTATTACGAAACATATCATCAAAATCATTACAAAACAGGCCGTTAAAATCATTACAAAACATACTGTCAAAATCTTTACAAAACATACTGTCAAAATCATTACAAAACATACTGTTAAAATCCTTACAAAAGATACTGTCAAAATCATTACAAAACATACTGTCAAAATCATTACAAAACATACTGTTAAAATCATTACAAAACATACTGTCAAAATCATTACAAAACATACCGTCAAAATTAAAGGGAATAAGCATTTAATGGCTGCTCATTATTTTATTATTTTAAAAGAAAATGTGTTTTATATTTCACAATACACTTGCAATCTGGCATGGCATCTTTTTATGTATTCATTTTTTTTTTGAACCAGGTAGAATGTGTAAGTTGAAATTCTCGCTTTTACCCAGTTGGGTGTTCTGAGATGTTATTAACCTTTCCATTTTTTGCATTTACTGTTGGCAAAATTTCAAATTTTTTTTTTTTAGCAATGTGATAATCTTTCATTTCAAAGTGTCCTTTAATACTGTTCTACTTAAACCTTCTCACAGTAAAGTGATCTGACTTTCAAACTGAATCATGTGATGGGATGTGTTGTGTTGGTTCACTTGTAGATCACTTGACTTCACTTTTGTGACTTTCAGTTGTTCTTTATGAATATTTTGAACGGTTGTTGAAACCACTGCAGTTGTTTAGTATGTGTTAGCAATATATTATCTGTGCCAGATGGGGCTGCTAGGCAGACTTTTGTTAAAAATCTTTTTATTCATTGCTGGCGGGCAGGACACTGAAGAAGAGGGTGCAAAATTGTCAGCTGGCGAAATAATTTTTATTCTTTAAATACTTTAAAATCAAAATCCATTTCTGCTTACTAGAATACAACAATTAAAGAAAAAAATTCATATTTTAAAAAAATTGTATTGATAAATTGAGAAGTGTTTTAAATTTCCTGAAATCTTAGCTAATTTATTTAGCCCTATGTTTTATTTTTTAGCTTGGGTCTGACCGAGGCCAAGAAAGATTTTTTAAAGCAGTAAGCTTAATTAAACGTTTGAATTAAAAGTATCAGAAAATTATCTTCTGCATCTTCACTTTTATAGGTTATTTTTGTGTTACCTATGTAACATTTTGAAGTTGAATATATTTATAAGAATGTTACTATTTTTTTTACTGTGAGATGAGGGAGCTGGAAGAATATGAAGTCAATCAATTTGTCATGAACAAATGGGAATAGATCCAACTATTTCACTTTAATCATTTATACAGTTGGAATGTCACTTTTAAACATTCCTCTTTTATCATTTTAAAACTAGATTATAGCATTTGAAC